ACAATGCGCTTAAGAGCAGAAAGAGAGCAGTCCGAGAACATAATATCAAAACTGGAAGAAACAAAGACCCTGTCGATCCGAGATAGACAATTGCTTTCCCCTCTTTTGCTCCAAGTTAACAGACTCCCCCCAAGCGGAAGCTCCATAAGACCATAAGCATCAATTACTGAATTGAATTCCGTCATGAGATTGAGGCTACGACGAAGCCCTCTGTACTCGTCATGGCTACGAACCAAGTTGAAATCCCCGGCTTTGCAAATAGGACCCTGATTATTATGACCAATAGAAAGCAGCTCATTGAGAAAAACCAGCTTATCTTTCCTCTCTTGTGGCCCATAAACCAAAACCAAACGCCAAGACTTCATGGAAGCAATCTCCGGAAGGTGAACCTCAAGATAATGCCTCCCTTCTCTATTGTTTATTACGTTAAGTCTGCTTATCCCAAAAGATTACAATTCCCCCAGAGCTGCCTACCGCATTCTTAGAAACCCACCCTGATTCAAGCTCACCACCAACATTTTGATGAAAAAAGTAAACGAACACACATATATAATAATATTTTGTGTTCATCGATGACAATAATAATAATAATAATAATTTTATTAATAATAATAATTTTTTGATTAAAAAAATATAATGATATACCCAAAAATAATAGTAATTTCTTAAAAAATCTTCTTATTCATTCTAATCAAGTGAAAAATTTAGGTAGACCAATTTATAATGTATCCTAAATTCACAACATATATTATTTCTCTAAATCATGTTCATTGAGCAAGCTCTATGGAGGTCTTACATTCTAGGCTAATATTTTATTTTCAGACCTGGAGTTATTAATTATCGAGGATCGTAAATCGAAATTTTAAAAATGACTTAAGTATGATTGTTGATTAACTTTTATTTCTTTTTCTAGGATGAGAATGACAAGTAAGAAGGTTAGATAAATCTTTGTTGACGATGTACGTGAAGCATAACGTTTTGCCAATCTCTAAACTTGCAATAATTAAATAAGGGTTGGAAATTTTAGTTTAAAATTTCTTGGTAAACAAATAGAAATTCGAAAATTGAGGCAGTAAATAAATATCAGTATGTTAGTTGAGATATATAGTTACAAGAGTCTAAACTGGGTATTTGTTTAATATAAAGAATCTATAACAATGACGAGTTCAGTAAGACAATTATATGAACTCATATTATCTTATCTTATCTTATCTTACTATATATTATGGTTGTTCAAAAGTTACTTATTGTCACATAAGCATTTGGAGAACTCACAAGTTGTCAAGGTGGACAATACTTTTTAAACAAAAAATTGAGTTAATGATCAATTTAATTATGGAGCTATCTCTCTCTTCTTTTAATAATTTTTCTTTTATTCAATAATTTCTTTTTGCTTTTGCATTATATCTATGTATGCAATAATAGACTAATGTTTGTAAAGTGACATATATCACATTTTTTAAACCAAAAATAGATTATTTCTTTAAGTCAATTTCTGCTCATTTATGCTAAAACTTTATAATAAGTTACTTTTTAATGAAAATTTAGAAAAAACACACTTAAATAATAATATTTTAAATGTGTAATATAATACTTGTACATTTCTCTAACATTTCTTTAAGTCAATTTCTCTAACATTTAAATGTGTAATATAATACTTGTACATTGTCAACTTTCTATCTAGATCTTTTGTGATATAATACTTGCTTTATTGGATAGACGTATACATTAGAAATGAGAGAATTTTTTATAGTAAAAAGTATAAAATAATATAGTTCATTTTTGAAAATCGATTGATCATCAAACAACTATTTTATCACAAAAATGATATGACGATGAAAAGAGAGGAAATAGTTGTTTGATGATCAATCGAATTTCAAAAATGAACTATATTATTTTATACTTTTTACTATAAAACATTCTCTCATTTCTAATGTATAGTCTCTCAAATAAAACAAGTATTATATCACAAAAGATCTAGATAGAAAGTTGACAATGTACAAGTATTATATTACACATTTAAATGTTAGAGAAGTATTTGTAGACGATGTACGGTAAACATTACATATCATCAACCACTGACCTAGGCTTTGATTTAACAAAAGCTGACAATTTTTGTTTAATAGTTGAATGTATTGGTGGGAAAAAATAAAATTCATGATCAATACAATAACTAAACATCTGTTTGTTGGTTGAGTATCTACACCAAAAGTATTTATAGTTACAAAAGTCTAAACTGAGTTGTTGGGTTAAAAATAAAGAATCGTTAATCAGAATGAGTTCAACAAGGCAATTGTAAGAAGTCATTTGCTAGTACGGTAATGAGCCTATGACTCCATACCAAATGTTTGCAATAATAAAATTATTCTGATATCAAAGTGTCCAAAGAAAAATATTTTACTTTGTAACAGTAAGCAAGTTGTATTTACATTGAGTTATCCTAGCCACAATTATTTTTTCCTTTCATATTCCACTGGACGAGCAAAGTTCGAAAGTATTAACTAGGATTAAAAAGTATATTAAACTCTTTATAAATGCTTATATATTAACAATAAATGTGTCTACAATATATCCATGAATTCATATGTACGCGAAATGTCATAATGGTTGTTTGATTTTTTTTAAAAAAAACAATCAAATTTTTAAAAAATTATAAATTAATTGTTCAAACGATACGCCGTTTAAAATGCATCTAAAATCCGAGTGGATTGTAGACATACTTTATCAGTTATTAAGATAAGTAATTAAAATTTTGTTCCAAAAATGGTTCATGAAACCGTACCGTACTGGCGGTTCAAGCACAAAATACCATTGTGTTAGGTTAAACCGGTAGGTGGTATTTCAGGTACTAACGGTTGAACTTTGGTTAAATCACGATTTTTCTATAAAAGACCCTACCACTGACTTTTTCGTAACAATGTCCAGTACGGTTTCGTGAACCAAACATCAAAGATGGGATGTGATAAACCTTCACGATAAAATTTTTTATTAGAGAATAATAGCATCATAGGTGAGTATGCTAAGTATTGAAATTTTTTAATATAGGCATATCGCATACTCGCTTATATAGTGAGAGTATAAAAATATAGAAAAAAAAAATTAAACATATAGACAAATCAATTGATATAAATGATAATGAGACTCTCCGGCCAACAGGTCGGGTAAGAAACTAGTTTGGTTATATGGCTGTGAGCCTGACTCCTTACTACTTTTGGCAGTAACAAAATATCTCTTTCTTCATTTAATATCTTTTTTTTATCCAATAATAATTATTATTATTTTTGCGCTTTTGAATTTTACTAATGTATATTGTTTTAGACTAATTTTTGGAGTGACATATATGATATATCACATTTGTTTAACACAAAAATACATTATTAGACCTTAATAATTAAGTTTTATACTCTTTTTCGAAAACTAAATAATAAGTTACATTTCTATGAATTCAAATGAACCCACACATAAATAATAACCTTTTTAAATTAAAATAAATATAAAAGTGAAAATAGAGAGTGATAGATAACACATTTTTCAAACTAAAAGTATATAATTAAATCTTATTGAGTAAATTTTCTACTAATTTCTATATTTTGATGAAAAAAGTGAACGAACACATATATAATAATATTTTGTTTTCATCGATGATAATAATAATAATATTAATAATTTTTTTATAGAAAAAATATAATGATATTCCAAAAAATAATAGTAATTTCTTAAAAAATCTTTTTATTCATTCTAATCAAGTGAAAAATTTAGGAATCACATGTACAACAATTTATAATGTATCCTAAATTCACAACATATATTATTTCTCTAGATAATGTTCATTGAGCAAGATCTATGGAGGTCTTACATTCTATGTTAATATTTTATTTTCAGACCTGGAGTTATTGATTATTGAGGATCGTAAATCGAAATTTTAAAAATGGCTTAAGTATGATTGTTGATAAACTTTTACTTTTTTTCTAGGATGATAATGACAAGTGTGAAGGTTAGATAAATCTTTGTTGAAGATGTACGTGAAGCATCACGTTTTGTCAATCTCTAACCTTGCAATAATTAAATAAGGGTTGGAAATTTTAGTTTAAAATGTCTTGGTAAACAAATAGAAATTTGAAAATTGGGGCAGTAAATAAATATCAGTATGTTAGTTGAGATATATAGTTACAAGAGTCTAAACTGGGGTATTTGGTTAATATAAAGAATCTTTAACTACGACGAGTTTAGTAAGACAATTGTAAGAATTCATTTGGTTATATGGCTGTGAGCCTCACTCCATACAACTTTTGGAAGTAACAAAATATTTTTCGATATCAAAGTTTCAAATGAAAATATTTTAGTTTGTAAGAGCAAGCAAATTGTATTCACATCGAGTTACCCTAGCCACAAACTCTTTGTTTTTCATATTCAGCCAACGAGTTGAACTCCAAGGTATTGATTAGTATTAAAAGTAAATTAAACTATATATATGGCAAAGGCTAGGGAATGCCTATGCCTGTTGAGTATTGATATTTAGATAATGTATTAACCGGAGTTTGGGGCATGATACTATATACCCTAACCCCTAATGCGTGAACCCAGTCTCCAATTCACTAACCTAAAGCATAATAATATTTATTAAATCTTGAAATGAAAATTAAAGATTTTGATTCATCGAAATTATTGTTGATTTTCATCTTCCGCTAATTCAAATGTGTCTATAATACATCGGGTTAATTGCAAGGATTGTCATTGGGTTTACTAAAACCGTTCATGTTTGGTCACTGCAAATATTTAATTCCATTCATGGTTACTAACATTAGTTCAATAGTTCAAGTTTGGTCACTCTCCGTTAGTCTCCGTTAGTTTTTGCTGATGTGGTAGTCAACTATTATAGTTGACCGTTAAATGAGTGACGTGGCCAATAAAAAAATAAAAATATTTAAATATTTACAATTTCCACCTCAGTTTACAACTATTAGAAAATAAAAATAAAAATAAAACTTACCTTTTTCGCCACCTTTCTTCTCACTTTAGTCCAAACCGAGCAGCAGCATATTGTTCTAATGGACTCCAATGTCATGCCAAAAGCCTTCCAATCTCCACACCACTGGCACCTAGCCTCTCTGTCGTCGATTTCGCAGTCAGATTCCCCTGCCTCCAAGCTAATCTACTCCTACTCCAACGTCCTCGACGGATTCTGTGCTTCGCTAACTGACCCGGCGCCGTCGCCGGCGGGTTGAGCTCCGGCCCCGCCCTATCCGGGAAGAGCTGGTGGGTGGTCGGGATATTACCCTCCTTCCTTAAAATGTCGAAGGAGAATGCTGAGCAAGCGGCGGGGATGCTGTTGAGCGAGCGGGGAAAGGGTTCTATCTCGGTGTTGATTATGTCGGAGGAGGAATCGGAATCGTTGCCGTCGTCGTCGGGGAAATCGCGATTTGGGACCCGAGCGTCCATCATCGTCGATTGTGCAGGCGATTCGGATGATGATCGGAGCTTCTTCGCCGCCGCGGCGAGGCACGGCGTCGTATTGGGGTGGAGGAGGATGTCTAGATTGAGATCCGGAGCAGAAACAGAGAACGCCAGGAAATGGGTTTTGGTGGGGTTGCTGCTCGGAATCTTCCTCTTACTCATCGATCTATGCTGTAAATTGTGATTGGATGATCGGAGGAAGGAATCCGGGGGAGAGAGAGATGGTGTAATCGAGTTTGGAAATTGCTTGCTGCTGTACTTACAGATGATTTGGAGTTTTATATGCACAATTCTGGGAACCGAGAGAAAAAAACAGGGGAGGTAGAGAGAGAGAGAGAATGGAGGGGACGTGTTGAGTGAGACTCAGAGAGCAGAGCATCATTATTCCATTAATTGATTCCTCCTCTGCCTATGAATATGATGTTAGTTGTTGTTTTTCCATGGTTGCCCCGGCGAGGTGGAAAGGGCAGTGTCACTTCAACAACGGCTCGCTCTGTAACACCAAGCTTGTTGGAGCGCGCGTCTTCAACAATTCCCTAATCGCAGCCTTTCTGTGGGGGTGAAGAGCGTGAAACTTACCTTTTTCACGGTCAGGGGGCGCGAAGAGCGTGAACGCGGGGGAGGAGTTGGAAGAGAGGAGGCTGGATCAGAGATCCGTGGTGGCGACTGCGTTGGGGAGGAGGTAAGTTTTATTTTTATTTTTAATAGTTGTAAAATGAGGTGGAAATTGTAAATATTTATATTTTATTATTTTTTATTGGCCATGTCACTCATTTAACGGTCAACTATAATAGTTGACTGCCACATCAGCAAAAACTAACGGAGACTAACGGAGAGTGACCAAACTTGAACTATTGAACTAACCTTAGTGACCATGAATGGAATTAAATATTTGCAGTGACCAAATATGAACGGTTTTAGTAAACCCTGTGACCATCCTTGCAATTAACCCATAATACATCCAATAATTCAAATGCATGTGAGATGTTACAATGTTAGTAGGAAATTTTGTGAAGTTTTTTCAAAAATGATAAATTAAGTGTTCAAGCAAAACATCATTTTAAAATACACATGAATATGTGTGCGTTGTAGACACACTTTATTAATTATTAATATAAGTAATAATTTTTTCCATAACAAACACTAAAGACATTTTTTTTAGCAAATGCACATTAAAAAAGTTGAAAAATTACACACTGAAGGACAATGTTAAGATGAGAATCCTCAATAGTGTATGTGAGTGTATTGGGTTGAGATTCTAAAATAACATTTAGACAACAATCATGGATTGAGAGTTAGTCCAATTTTCAAAAGTAGCAATTGATATATATTGTATAAGATACTAAATTTTAGTATCTTGATAAACAAATTTTATCATAAGATCCTATACTAAGATTTCATGAACATCCACAAAGAACATGAGTGAAGATTGAAGCATTTGACCTTCATAAGGTATACGATGCATGCAATTTCCATCATGATAAATAATTTTTTTTTATGAATATCATGATAAAATAATTTACGGGTAATCAAGTATTTTTATCCAATAAGCAGAACTCTCATTAATTGGTTGAGAGTCTGTCCAAACTCTAGAATCACATGGTGATATATTCTATAATATAATAAATTTGAGTGTCTTGGTTGAAAAATATAAATATATTATTGATCATAAATGGGACGTGACAAACCTTCACGATATGATTTATGGTTAGAGAATCAAAACTTCATAAGTGTGCTAATTATTAAGTATTAAGAATTTTCAATATAGGCATACCATTCACTTATGAAAGCGAGAAAATAAAATATCTATAAAACCCAAATAGATTATACATATAGATAAATTATTTAATATAAATAATAAAATGTAATTCTCCTGCCAACGGGCTGGGTAAAATACTTGTTAGGAAATAAGATACTTAAACATCTACATTTGAACAAACAATATATTTTCAAAATCTCTACATTTCTAAGGGGTAAATTGCAAGTTTGGTCATTAAAATTACTAAACAATTTCACGTATGCTACTAAAATTAGTTTATTCCATTTTTGGTCACCTATATTAGTTCAACAGTTCAAGTTTTGTCACTGTCTGTTAGTCTCCGTTAACTTTATCTGACGTGGCAGCAACTCTGAAAGTTGACCGTTAAATAAGTGATGTGGCAATTAAAAATTTTAAAAAATTTTAAATTGTTATAATTTCCACATCATTATCCCAATATATTAAAAAATTATAGTTATAATTTTTTTTATTTCCCCCATCGGTTTCTCCACTTGCAAATCTTCATCGTTCCCTCTAAACCCCCAAAACGAAGAGAAACCCCTAGAATCCAATCAACTCGCCAAACAGAATGTATCGATTAGCGACAGCGTCGGAGTACCTGGCGATCACCGGCGTCGGGATCAAAGACATCAAACTCGCCAAGAATTCATGGATTTTCCCCGGCCAATTCTGCACCTAGTTCGACATCTCCCCGGTCAACTACACCCTCGAGGCCCAGGCCATGTCCGCCGATCCTCCCTGCCGTCTTAACAATCGGCCCGCGCAATGACGACGAGGCTATGCTCAAGTACGTGAACCAGCTGGTGCAGGGCGTGATCTGAGGCGAGACCCGCGTCCTCGCCGCGTCCATGACCATGGAGGAGATCTTCAAGCGGACCAAGGATTTGAAGCACGACGTCCTCGGCAAGGTCCAGCTCGAGCTCAACCAGTTCGGGCTCTACATCTACAACGCAAACATCAAGCAGCTCGTCGATGTCCGCAGATGGAGGTCGCCAATCAAGCCAAGGTCGACGTCGCTAAGGCCAGGATGAAGGGGGAAATTGGGTCCAAAGATCGGGACGGGCTGGCGAAGCAGAACGCGGCAAAGATCGATGCGGAGACGAAGACCATCGCGATTCAGAGGCAGGGGGAGGTCAATTTCTAATTTCAATCTAGGTTTCTTAATTTTCATCTAGAAATCGATTTGGTTGATGAATCTAGGTACCCTATTTTGAATGGCTATTCATTGATTGATGATTATGGGTGAAAATTGATCGATTGATGAGCATCTAGACGGGCGGGGATGTCGCGGGCGCCGGGCGGCACGCGGCAGCGAGAACGGGGATGGGCTTGTTGAAGGGGAATGTTACGGTGTTTACAGGGGGAAAATTATAATTATAATTTTTATATTTTATTTATTTTTAAATTTATTGTGATAATGAGTTGGAAATTATAATGATTAAATTTTATTATTATTATTGTTTAATTGCCACATCAGTTATTTAACGGTGAACTTTTAGAGTTGACTACCACATTAGATAAAGTTAACGGAGACTAATAGAGAGTGATCAAACTTAAACTAATCTAAATGACAAAAATGGAATAAACTAATTTTAATAGCAAACATTAATGACCGAACTTGCAATTTACCTCATTTCTAAGTATCCACGTTTCTGACTCTTGCTTTTAGATTGAAATCCAACCAAAGAATTGCCAAGTTAAAACTTAATAATGGGCCGTCCAGCCCAGCACTTCAAGCTGTATTATCATTGGGCCCAGAATACGGAATCCGGTTAGGAGAAGGCATAAATACATTTACAGCCTTGTATGTTGACCAGGAACTCGTTCCTCCTTCAGCAGCTCGCCGTTCCCTCTGTTTTTTTTGCCAATCGTCCGCTGCCCGGAATAGCTGCAATTTCCCCGATGGGATGTACTGATCACGAATGCCCTCCCGGAAAACGACGCGAAATGGATTCAAAACCGGCGGACACGCCGATCAACGAATTGGGAGACGATCTCCTCCAAGAAATTCTTATTCGCCTCCCAAACCCTAGATTCACCTCCCGCTGCAAACCGGTATGCAAGCAGTGGAACTCCCTGATCTCACATCCCTCCTTCCGTGGCCATTTCATTTCTCACCACCAGAGAAAGAACGAAAGCGGAGGAGAGCCCTCTGTTCTGATACTTCCCGCCGCCGGGGGCGGGTATACTCTCTATTACTGGGCTTGATCATATCATATGAGTCGTCATATTAAATATTTGTATCAACGATTTGAAGGATATGGCTTCCTTCTTCTTCTTCTTTGGTATGCCGGCTTTGGGTTTTCATCTTATATCTATGTATAATGTAGTGAGTCTGGGTTTTCCTTTCCAATTTACTTATGGTTTTGTTCTTTTTTTTGTATTTCATGATTTCAGCATTTAGATGACACAAACACACACGACCTAACCAGTTTAAGAAAGAATATAAACAGGAGAGCATCAACAACAAGCAGCTAGCTACCTAGCGAAAGAACGAATGGAAATTTTATGGACGAGCAAGAAGATCTTGCGTGGTAGGATTAGCAGGAATACACTAGCTAGAGATGTATGTTGGACAAAGTTGAGAAGGGTGACTCTAATTCTTTCTGTGCTCAATACTGTTTCCATCTACGCTATGCAAACCTCCATTCTCTCTGTTTTGGTTTGGGTTGTGATGCTATTGATAGGAAGAATGAGTGATTTGTTAGGAGATCCAAGGAGGGGGAAGAGAAAATTCCTATTTGGTGGGATGACAAAATTCTACAGGAAGAATGAGTGGATTGTATGCCACGAAATATCGTTCGACGCCCTGAAATGTAACAGCGGTTTCCAAGTCGAGGGGATGGAAATCGATTATGTGCTTGGTCAACATCACCGGAGATTTTCTTCTTGAAATGTTGCTATAATCGGACCAAGGAAAAAATCGCGATTCTTTCGTGCAATTTCAGCACTGTAAAGCTGGAGCTCGTTGCTGATCACGTACTACCGTGGGAAGTTTCTCATGATCATCCGGTGGCGTTCCAGTCTAGAGTTATGATGCGTATATTTATTAGAGTTCTCATTATTTGAATTAGTTAGTAGTGTTGAGGTAGTTAGAGAGTCATGGGTTGTTAGAGAATGTGTTAGAGAGTGAATAAATCTCTCCACCTTAAGTGGAGAAATAGTAGCACCTGTACGTGGAGTTAGTTCCACTAATTAGATATGTCTTTTCCATTTCCTTTGTATATTTAAGTTGAGATTAGATTCAATAACGGTAAGCAGAATTTTAGCAAAGAAAATCCTGGTAACCTCTCGCCGAGAAAAGAGAGAACTGGTTCAATCCCGCCAAGAAAAGGGATTCATTCACTCATACGATTTCAACACGTATCATTTGGTATCAGAGCCGTTAATCCGGATCCCAATCACGATGAGCTCAAAAAGACCATCAAGAGAGGAGGAACTCATCAATCAGACACTCAAGCAGATAGAGCGTGTCATGGCTACCTGCCGCATGATGATTGCATCGTATGACAAATGCATGTCAGCAACACCATATGCGCCTTGGATGTCGTTCGTGTCGCCCACAACAACATTGCCGTCGACTGTCGTTGCACCGCCACGGCCGCTCGATAACCTCGCCTCCTTGGAAGACACCAAGATCGCTCCACAACCAAGTCTAGTTGCATCCCTAGCCATCACGGCAAAGATGTCGATACCTACCGCTCTTGCTGTCGTCATTCGTCCATCATCGCCGAAGATTAAGAGCTTTTCGAGTTCACCAATCGTCCACCTGTAGACGCACTTGAACCACGGTCTATCGCCCTTGAGCTGGAGTCACACCTTGAATTATCAGTCAAGGCCGCTCCTGTTTCAGCAGGCCTAGCCAAAAAGAAGCACCAGGAGAGGGAGCTGCAGTCCCTATTGGTTAGCAACCGCCCGCATCAACTACATGGGTATGTCTTATCAATGGGAATCGACTTAATCCCCATTTGTGTGATTCCTATTCGATGCATAGTCATCTTAGGAAATATAAACCCTTGGCGGTTTAGAAAGAAACTCCCCGAGACCGTAGGACTATGTGGCATTGATGCCGATTTTCTCTATTGGAGGAAGAAAAGGAAGAAGAATTCCAAGGAAGAAGACTGCTGATGTCATCGATATCGCACCACCTCCACCGCCCATGTTCTCCGTACCTATCGTCGCGCCCTCAGCCATCACCACCAACCTACTCATGATCGACGAGGAAGAAGTCGCAGCAGAGTTCACCGTGTTTGTGGATTGGACAACTGCAACTAAGGAAGACTTACCAAATCTCCTGGATCTGGTCGAACCACCGTCATCAGTTGTGGCCTCATCAAATTACCAGACTCTTACATCACCGACAACCGCCCTCGTCAACAACGCTGCTACTTGGGATCCATGGTTAAGATGCTCGCTACGATCGCAACAAGTTCAAAGAGTTGCAGTCATTCCCATGATTACGGAAAAGGGTAATAAGGGAAGAATTCTATATTGGAGGGGGAAAAAAATCAAGTTGCTGAAGCTGTTGCCACGTTCCACCGTATATTCAATTCCAAGCAGGAGTGTTACCATTGGAGCTCCATTCTCAGGGTGTTATTCTCTTAATTCGTCCCATACGTCAAGTGATTATGCACGTTTGGGGAGATTGGAAGGATTAAGACATGCACAAAGGCAAGGTTTGGAATTTAAGAACCCATAAATGGTGAGCAGAGCAGCGTATTGCAAGTGTTGGATAAGTCAGAGCTCCGGTGATAGGAGCTGTGTGGAAGGGGTCGGGCGCAATTGGAAGCATCGTAAACGGCAAGCTTCTTTTACATTGCTCTGGGTTTAGTATGGTTTGCGATGATTTGCGAATTAACACGAACCTTGGGGACAAGGTTCTTTCAAAGGGGGAAGGAATGATGCGCGTATATTTATTAGAGTTCTCATTATTTGAATTAGTTAGTAGTTTTGAGGTAGTTAGAGAGTCATGGGTTGTTAGAGAATGTGTTAGAGAGTCAATAAATCTCTCCACCTTAAGTGGAGAAATAGTAGCACCTGTACGTGGAGTTAGTTCCACTAATTAGATAGGTCTTTTTCATTTCCTTTGTATATTTAAGTTGAGATTAGATTCAATAACGGTAAGCATAATTTCAGCAAAGAAAATCCTGGTAACCTCTCGCCAAGAAAAGAGAGAACTGGTTCAATCCCGCCAAGAAAAGAGATTCATTCACTCATACGATTTCAAGACGTATCAAGTTACGCGTTTCTTTACCCCAATTCCCAGCTACCAGAAGTTACTAGGTATGTATAATGGAAGCTACAAAGAGTTAGTCCAAAAGTAGAAAATCAAATTTCAAATGCTTTATACAAAGTTATCCTTCGCGCTTGTGACTCCACGTCGGCCGCCGGGGAAGGGTGGTGATAAGCCGTTAATTGCACATGTTTTTACCCCTATTCTGGAGCCGTTTGAGATGGTAATTCTCGTGTTTTAGGCCGATTTCACGCTAGGTTGTGTTTGTTTGTGATATTTCAGGTCCTAGCAAGTGAATGAAGGTTTAGGAGCGAGTTCGGGGTCGATTGGACGATGATCGGGCGTGAGGCAAGTCAAAAAGGAAGCCACACGGGCACACCCACAATTCACACGGCCGTGCAAGTGACCTATTTGGCCGTGTGGGATTGTGCGAGCCTTCACACGGCTTGCCCTGATATCCACACGGCCGTGTGAAGGAGTGGTTTGGCCGTGTGGAATTCCGCGAGGCTTCACACGGCCAGGCAGGGTGATCCACACGGCCGTGTGACCCTGGCCGTGTAGGAAGCCTGAAGGGCAACTAATCGATACGCGGCGTTTTGACCTCACACGGGCAACTGGGTATGTCACACGGCCGTTTGGCCCTGCCCGTGTGAGTCGGGAATTCCTGGTTTTAACCCAATTTCGGGCTGCAAGTGAGAGGATCGGACTTTTGGAGCAAAAACAGAGCCCTAGAGAGAGAAAGTACGAAGAACACATCCTAGAAGCTATCTTGGAGCTGGGTTTCATCAAATCAAGCTTGGAGATCGTCATAGGAGTGGAAATCATCATCCCAGAGCAGATTCTTCCCATTGTAATGAGTATGACTGCTTTGTATCTTGTTTCCCTCTCTCTCTCTCTCTCTCTATGGAGTAGAACCCTTCTCTCACTTGGGTATGAAGAACCCTAGTTCTATGTGTTAGGGATTTGATTGTAATGACTTGGGATGATACTACTGTTTGATTTTAATCGAATGATGCATGATTATTGAGTCAATTGAAGTCTGATCAACTTTTCCTTATTTCTGCTGCAATCTGAGATAGATAGAATCTGATTAGGTTGCTAGAGTCTCATCATTCGGTAGTAGGAGATTGGCTATACGAGAGTTAGCTAGTTTACTGCTTTGTACTGGAATCCAATTCCAGTAGTGGAGTTCTGTTCTTACTGCTTCAGCTTTCTATCCCGGTGAAGACTAGTCGTCTGCCGGGTAGTTAGACTGAGAGAGCTTGGTCAGCTTAAGAGATTCCAAGCTACTGTCGGATCTTCTGCAGTCTAATCAACAGTAAATCAACCCAGGGAAATACAATTGAAACCTAACTAAGGAGCTAGGGGGACTCATTCCCGAGTGACTCTTACCTGCTTGAGAAAACCGTACAAATTCCTGCTTTCTTTCTGCTTTTGCTTTTAAACAACAAACACTTAACTTAGTTGGCTAGATAATAGATAATCACTGAGTAAGAAGTACATCTAGACCCCGGGTTGATAATAGAACTTGCCACTTTACTGCATTCCCGGTCTGCGATTACACTTGGTCGCAGATTGGTGTTGTGTTTTGGCGTGTCAAGTTTTTGGCGCCGTTGCCGGGGACCCTCTAGGTTATTGGGGAAACGTGAGAATCTGTTACTCTAGCTTTTTCTTTACTGCATTTTATCTCTTCCACCTGTGTGCCTTCACGGGTTGTTTCTGCTGATTGTGTGCAGGTAGTGCATGACCCGTAGCCAGTCGGGAGATCTATTACCATTAGACCAGGAGCTTGAACGGACCTGCAGGAACTTCAAGCGGGCTCTAAAGGCGCGACTGGCTGCGGAGGAGGCGCTAGCACAACTACAGATTACTGAAGAAGAAGAGATGGCTGATCCACAATACCATGATGTGGTCAATCCTGGGGAGCAGACCATGGGATCCTACTGGACCGCAAGGGCTGCAGACATGAGGTCACCCATTCAACACCCTCATGTCCCAGCCAATAATTTTGAGGTGAGCACCTCAGTAATCACCATGCTGCGCGGTTCAGTGGTGTTCCGTGGCAAGGAGGGGGAGTGCCCCCGATCACATCTCAGGCGATTCCACGAGCTCATTGATGGAATCAAGATCAATGGGGTCCCAGCAGATGCCATCCAGCTGAGGTACTTCCCATTCACCCTGGAGGGGCAGGCCAAGGAGTGGCTAGACACTCGACCTCCAGGCTCCATCACCACGTTCGCCAACCTGGCGGACAAGTTCCTCACCCGCTACCATCCTCCGTCGAAGACGGCGGACTTGCAGAAGCAGATCACCCACTTTACCCAGGATGAAGATGAGACCATCCGGGATGCTTGGGAGAGATACAACAGTCTCTTCCTGAGGTGTCCCAATCATGGTTTCAACGATGCTTTCAAGGTGGGAACCTTCTATCATGCCCTCTTCCCAGAAGACAAGCAGCTGATTGACTCAGTTTGTGGCGGGAACATGCTGACCAAAACACCGCCACAGCTGAATCAACTCTTTGAGGAGATGGCAGAGAACGAGTATGATTGGGGCACTGCTAGGAGGTCGAGGAGAGCACCAAGCCGAGGTGTACATTCTGTGGGAAACCATTCCTCTGATTTGGTGCAGGTGGTGTCGAAGCTGGTTTCAGCTATCGATCGTTCCGGGATGATTCCAGGGACCGGACAGCAGCAGGCGATGCTCTGCCAGTGGTGCGAGAGCACCCATCATGCAGTGGAAGACTTCCAGGCGATGAAGGAATCGACCACACCCCAGGAGCAGGTGAACTTCATCAATAATGTCAGGCGCAATGACCCCTACAGTAACACCTACAATGAGGGGTGGCGCCAGCATCCCAACTTCTCCTGGGGTGGGGCAAATTCCAGATCACCAGTCCCCCAAGGACCACCGGGCTTCCAGAGGCCACCATATCAGCCTAGACAGGGGCAATTCCAGCAGCAGCAGTCTCTCTACCAGCCCATGCAGGGGCATGCTGCTCCATCACAGCCGCGACCTTTCCAGCAGCCAGTTGCAGCCCCTGCCATCCCAGTGCAGAATGATCCGATGGCTGAATTGCGGAACTTGGTGGGTTCTCTCGCCAGTTCTAGTGCTCAGAAATTCAACACTATAGAGCAGTTCATGGAAAAGGCATCGGGTAAATTCCTGGCTCTTGAAGCTGGCCAGAGGAACACACAGGCTGTCTTGCAGGATATCCAAACCCAGCTGGGGAGTGTGGCTCAAGCAGTGGCGCAAAGGGCTCCTGGTACTCTGCCCGGTCAGACCATCCCTCACCCTCAGAACCCGAATGAGCACTGCAATGCCATCATAACCAGGAGTGGCAAGATGACTGTTGATCCACCTGCTCGGGCACAAGAGAGAGAGAGGCCCCGGCATCTCCAGCAGCTAAAGAAGCAGAGAAGGAGGTTGAGGTGCCTGCACCTAAACCGCAACCAGTAGTGAAGGAGTATATCCCTCAACTCCCCTTCCCTACTCGGTTGCACAAAGACAGGCTGGAGGCAGAGTTCGGGAACTTCATGGCCATGCTTAGGAAGATGAATGTCCAAGTACCTTTCTTGGAGGCACTTTTTCAAATTCCTAAGTATGCGAAGTTCCTGAAGGATCTTCTCTCAAAGAAGCAGAAGCTGAGAGAGCTGGCCACTGTGGAGCTCGAGGAGTGCTCGGCCATTCTGCAGAACAAGCTTCCGCAGAAGCAGAAGGACCCAGGTAGTTTTACTATCCCGTGCTCTATAGATAATTTGCATGTAGAGAGGTCCTTAGCGGATTTAGGTGCTAGTATCAATGTTATGCCGTATAAACTGTTTAAGAAACTAGGCCTAGGTGAACCCCGTGCTACTAGGATGAGCCTTCAATTAGCTGACCGATCTGTAGTGCATCCTAGGGGCATAGTGGAAGACCTTCTGGTTAAGGTTGGCAAATTCAATTATCCTGTTGATTTTGTGATTTTGGAAATAAATGAGGATGTGGATGTGCCACTGATACTGGGAAGGCCTTTCCTGGCCACCGCCAAGGCTCTCATAGATGTGCATGATGGGACCTTAGTTCTGAGGGATGGTGAGGAGCGAATAACGTTTTCAATTTCTAATACTCTTCCTGCTTCTTCGCCTTTGCATGCTGTTTCTCACCGGGAGCACGAGTCTGTCGTGTATCCTTCTGTGTTTCCTATTTTGCAGGATCCGCCTCCCATACCTTCGCCGCCTCTCCCGTCCACTCCGTCATCGAAGGAACAGATCAAGGAGGAGTGGCGGCCGAAACAGCAGGCAGCTAAGCCTGCTCGAAAGAAAGCCGGAGACCACCATGAGCTGGTCCCGCCCCCACCTTGGCCATCCGAGTATTCACTCTCCTGCATCCTGCCGGATGGCCAAGTTGAGTTGGCAAATGCTGGTGGCCACATTCGGCGTGTGCATGGCCACTATTTGAAGTTGTACCTCAAGAGCGAGGTGGAT